TTCTGCACTTCAAGCTAGTGTGGCCAGGTGAGAGAGAACTCCTACTTTTGTGGCGTGTGGAAAGCCCTGTATTAGACACTGCCTAATACAGCCCTGTATTAGGTACTGTCAATGACATGAATTGTAATCTCACTCTTCATTCTTCTTGCCTATTGAACTACTCTAAGACCCGCTTCTGCCACCAGTGTGTAATCCATTAAGTATAATTGTGTATGTTCAGTAAGGCTTTTTGGGGGTGAATTATGCAAAGCAGTAGCAAATAATGTGATCTGGTGGTTGGCGGCCCTGTCCATGGAGTTTGATTTCAAGCCATTCTATGATACGTAGTGCATTTCCAAGCTGTCAGCCTTTGTGAAGCCCTAAGAGTGGTTATAGCTGAGAACTAAGTGTTGGGATGTGCTCAGCGCTCCAAGTGTTTGTTACCTGCTTTAGGAGTAACGGAACTTGTTAATTGCTTTCCAGGCTACTGATGGATAAATCTAGAGGAAAAGATTCTGAGCAGAACAGTGTATCATTCCTGCTTTTCTAAGTGCTTCCTGAGAGCCAGGTACCCCAAGAACCTGCCCATGAACTTTAGCCATGTAAGCCTGCTTGGCAAAACCTAACCAATTGCGCCTGCCTACACCCCTATTCATATGAAGTTGTCTGACTCATTATGGTGTTTAGTGAAGAATCAACAGCAAAATAATGGTCTCTCTGGGCTTTATTTCTTCCTAATGTTTTATCAGGATTATCTTGTCCCGTGGGAGAAGCTGTCCTGGTCCTTGACCATTGGAAGATGCTAACAAAACCACACGTGGAGAATTAAAATACATAAAACAATTCTGTGGGCTGAAAGCATCAGTGGCTGTGCAGGTGTTAAATTTCAGGATTATTTATACTTGGTTGGGTTTTCCTAGACCTTGTACTCTGCATATGCACTGCCACCCCCTCAAGTGCACAAGTGGAAAATTAGCACGCTAACTCTTCATGTAAATAGATGAAAAATCTCAGCTTTTTTTTCCATCTGTCGTCCCGAGAACATATATTACAAGTATTTAAACATTGCTCCTCCCAGAGAACACCAGGGCCTGGGGACTGTTCCCAATGCTTTTCACAAAGGGGCAGCGAGATCAGCCGTATGGATGGGAGCTGTGCTGCCCACTGTTCCTCAGGGCCAGCACATGGTCCCTGGCCTGGTTTATTTATTAATAGAGACTAAAGAGATAATCCAAAACTGGAAGCAATCTGTTAAGTGATTTAAAAATTGAAGTCATTTGAAAATGTGAAATCAGGCACTTAAAAGTATGAAGTGTGAATGATTTGCACTGAGTAGACATGGCTTACATTCTGGGCCTACTCATCTGCCTTTCTGTCTTCTGCAACAAATGCAAGCCCCATCTTTCCAGCACAGTTGTTCAGAAGATTGCTTTCACAACATTCAATTAAAGCATCTTTCAGCAAGCGGAGGCTTTTTTCCCCAGTGTGAGCAACTACAAAAAGATGTGCTGTCAGTCTGTCGTGTGCCATCAGATAGGCATTTAGCAGGTGGGAAGGCTGAGAGCATCAGAAAAGGTGTGACAAAAAGCCTGAGGGATGAGCCATAAACCCAGATGATTTTATTGTAGTAGTGAAAAGGAAAGAAAGTCCTTTACTCTCCTTTTCACATATTTTTGGTCCTTCACAGCAGGACCTTCACTTGAAGCAGTCCCTGTCGTCGCTGCCAGGCCATTTGCCCAGTGGTGGGAATGGCTGCCAACAACCATCCAGCCTTGGAAACATTTTGTTCCCGGGAAGCTGCAAAACCTGCCAAAGAAGATGGGTAAGTACCTGAGCCTCAGTCAGCCCAGGAGCTTCCTTAAAAGGCTTTTGGAGTCAATCCACAAGTGGAACAACGTGAGATTTTGCAAACCGCTCACCTCCAGCTCTTCGTCTACTCCTGTGAAAGTCACTGGAGAGTTTTTACTGAGGGTACGGCAGTGTCTGACAGTCTGACTACACCCAAACTTTATGGGCATTGAGGTGTTATGCAGGTCAGCCCAGATGTTGTCATGGCCTGGAGCAGTGTTCCGGCTCCCCGAGGGCTCCTCACCTCTGTGCTCAAAGGCAGAGCAGAGGGCAAGTCCCGCTCCTCTTTTCATCTGATGCACCAAACACCTCTTAGAAATGGCATCTGGTGCCAAAACAGCAAGTAATGAGCTATGTGAGGAACACTGCATCCATTGCCAGCCTACTGTTTTTCTGCGACACCAGGATGAGCTACTAAGGAACTTGCTCAGTGATTTTTACTTAGCACAGGTTTACACAGAGATTTTTTCTCAATGACCTCCAAGAGTAAAGAGTGCTGTGTACATAGGTCGTGGCATTACATCAGTGCATATACTGCATTATTTTATATACCACGTAACAGATTATGGAGGATACTGTAGGACTTCCAGGCTCCCATCTCATTTTCACAACAGGAAGCCTCCACCTTGCTGCTGTACTGCTTCTAGCTGTGTCAACAGATTGACAGCAGAAATACCATTAGAAAGACCATCAAGAAATAACATTTATTTCTGAGTTGCAGCCAACTCCTGACACAAGAGGTCAAACATTAGCAGTGTACAATCAGGCTCCTAGCAGTCCGGGAGAAGTGACCAATACTTAATTTACCTGGACCTGCAGAAGGCTGGAGCTGCATGCAAACCCGTCTGATCTCCTGGAAGGAACTTCAAGGTCAAAAAATGAGCACCTCCAGTCACAGAACTTAGGATTTCTACAGCTCGCATCATACTGAATATTAGGCTCCAAATCATCACCACATCTATTACTTGTTAGCTTTGACTTCTCTCAGGAAAACTCACATGCCAAGATCGCATCTTTTTAAAAACATCCCTCATGGGACAGGACCCTGATAATGGGATTTCACCATCTCAAAGTCCATATACTAACTTTTTAATATATAAATGTGCCTCAGCATAATTCTCAGTTTAATGTGGTTTGCATCTTCATAGCTTCACTTTAATAAAATGTTAATCATTTGTAATAATGCTAATTCTGTAAAGTAAGTAAGCAGTACACAGCTGTTTAACTTCTAACTTTAAATATCAGAACAAACATTTTAATAAGCAGATAGATATTACTTTCACATATACTCTATACACTCTTCTCATCTTTAAAATGTTTTAATATATAAGTATACACATTTTATGAAGGAAGTTGTATCATGGCCAATTAGTAAAGATGCTACAATTGATGCCATCTGCTGGGTTCAAGTGATGTTCAAGCCTTAGTAAAATGATCGTCAAATATTGGCCTGCTCTTATGCCTTTCAGCTTCAATGGAAATATGACTGACATCAATACAGTCATGTGTGACATGTTTCATTGGTAAAAGTGTTCTGTTCTAAAAGTTCCTTCTTTATTTGTGGCTAGAAGTTTGGAATATTTGTTATTTGTTTAGGTGAAAAGCAGTAAGTCTGAGAGTGACTCATGAATGGAAGTTAAATACATTACAGTGGGCGATAATGCAGTCTGAAAGGTCAGGTAAATATAACCCCCAGAATGGAAATTTACTTTATTTGTTCCCTGGAAGATCAGCTGAACTTTGTGGCTATCAGTCATGAACCTAACAAGTTCTGGCTAGTTCCTGCAATTTAGGAACTTTTCACCCTCCAATTTTGATGCTTTGAAACTACCTGGGAGAATTTTATTTCGAGTTTGACTTTATCTGGATTCTGTCATCATCTCCAAGGAAAGAAACCAATGCAGAGCTTTTACTTCAGGGCGATGTATGACTTTTTTTTTTTTTTCCAACTGAAAAATCACATGATGGAAGTGCAGCTCCCAAGTTTTACTCCTCAAAGCTGCACTGCGCTTGGCATCTGCCCTGACTTGCATAGGCCACTCCACACGTTAAACAGCAGTCCTTAATGACTTGTGTAGTCAAAAAGAAACAGTGTTTCAGTGTATGTTAAAAGAAGTCTTGCTTCTTCTGATTTACTATTGACTTTCCTCATCTTTTACGTTTTGTACTTTATGTCTAACTTCTTTTAGGAAAAGCAATCACACACCCATCCCCCTCTTTTTACTTTTGTAGGTTTCTATGCCTATCCCTTTACAGACATCCTCTGCAGGGGGGAACAGTAGCAACAAGTAGATTCCTGCACTGCACAGCCTCGCTTCTGCTTTTTGTTCTTTGTCCCAACCAGAATGTACCTGTGTTTGCTTTCCTGCATGTGCTGTGGTACTATGTGTGTTTATTCTGGTTGTGGTATGCTGTGAAAACAGCCCTAATAACCACACCACAGGTTCCAAAAAGCTTTTTGCTTTCTTCCTTTTAGAATCATAGAATCATTAAGGTTGGAAACAACCTTCAATATCATCCAGTCCTACCATCAAACCCATCACCGTTGTGCCCACTCATAAAGTCACAGAATCATTAAGTTTGGAAAAGACCTCTAAAATCATCAGATCCAACCATCAGTCCATCCTCTCCGTGCCTGCTAAGTATGTCCTAAGATGGTGTGTTCAGTGCCAAAAACAGAGCCTCAGGTGGGGCTCACTGGGACCCGCAGGCCCCAGCCACAACTAACCAACCTACACAGCACTGTTCTTTGTGGTAGAACACAGCACATGTTGTATGTTGCAGCATGCACGTTGTCATCTGTGGCATTTTAGGTGTCAGTTTTGCAATCTGATTTTAATCAAATTATTTTAAAAAGAGTATAATTTGGAAGGGAGCTCTGGAGCTATCAAGCACAACCTCGGAGCAGAATCAGCTTCAAATGTAGGAGAGGTTGCCCAAGGCGTTTTTCCACCCTTATCAGTTGGTCTAATAAAAGATTAAGGTGCCCCACAAAACTTGCCCCAGTTACCCACTTTCACACCAGCTTTTAGAAAATCCTGAAGGACGGAGACTCCAACACACCTCCACAGTACACAGCTCGCAAGCTCTGAAGAAAACTCAAATCCTGAGACGGTCCCAGGCAAGATAAGATCCATTCAGCAATAGAAAATGCATCATGAATTAACACTTACACGGCCGAAGCGTGCACTTGTGTTTTAATGCGTGGTTTTTCCTTTACGTTATTCTCTGTGTGCCTTTACAGAAGCGCGCTGCATGGCTCTCATGGCTCTCTGTTGACGCTGCACAAAGGTGACGCATGGGAAACACAAGGAGGTGTGATGACGGGCTGAGATAAGCGGGAAGATCAGGAGGCACCTGAGAGCCTCACCCCGCAGCAGGCGGGCGATGGTGTTTTGCAGGAGAGAGGTCTACGTCTGCCTTTCCTCTCTGCTGAGCAAGGCTAGGTCTAGATCTTATCTGAAAGTAGCCTGTATTGCTTCAATGACAGGCACAATCCCTGGGCTGTGAACGTAGTCATAAAAGGAGTTTATTTCTTTGTATATTGAGAATCAACGGGGAAGGGAGTGAACTCTGCTGCTATACAGTACTTTAATACTGGAGATAATCTCTCTATATTGATGATAAATAATGCATATTTAAGTGGCTTTATGACGGCAGGATGAAAAAAAAAGAAACACCAAGCACCTGGATACAAAAGCAGGTCTGTAGTTTTTTATCATGACTGAAACAAGTAGAGATCTATGTTTAATTATTTCATGCAGAGCAGAACAGTGTCAGCTGGAAAGGCTGAGCAAAGGCCATTCAACCATATAGCTGGATGGAGCATTTACCTGGGGGCAAGAGGACAGAGGTTCAGTTCAGTGGAGACATTTTCCTGTGAAATGAAGTTTCCCTGTTCCTTCGGTTCAGTTCTCTCACCACTATGCAGGAGAGCTTGGGAAAGAATGGGCAACAGCTTCATTCTCAGCATTCTCATGAAGAGGGCACCTCCAGTCTGTATATGCATATAGGTAGCAATGGTTTTACATGCATATTTCTTTCTATGCATATGCATGTATATGCTTTTTAACTAGACTTCACAGCCTCCCTTTCACAGGGTTGCATCAAGGGTTACTTTGGAAATAGTCTTGATATCTTTCATGATAACAAAAATTCCCATTTGTTCCCAGATTCCAATTCATGGCAAACACTTCTCGCAGTCTGTGAGCTCTCTGAGCACCTTTCAGTACTTAAAGTACATACCAGCCACTGTAAGCTATCCTTAAATATCACGTGCAAATGTTTACATTCATGGAAACTAAGCTGCTGCTGCTTCTTTTTTCCTGTCCTGCTCTCATAGGCACCAGATTCTTGTGCACTTACTGAGAATGCACATAACCATCAACAGTTTAATGGTGAACTCATAGCTAGAAACCCCACAGAAAATGCTTCCCTGTCCTGTACCTGCTCTCTGTACTGTGGAACTGTCTGGGGAAGCTCAGCCCACCTGCCCAAGCTGGGCAGGACATTGATGGTTATTCATCATGCGGGGAGCAGCCTCAGTGGGCAGCTTTCTTAATGAAGTAATCCAGAAGTGAAAGGGTAATGTTTACCAAACCTGTTTCAAAATGGCTGATTAATCAAATACACGGGTGTTTATTGAGGCTGTTGCTAGGTGCTTACTGTTATTGAGATAATTGCATGACTCAACCAAGCTAGACAAAGAGTGTTACTGTTGCTCTAAAGCACCAACCCGCTGCAAAGTTTGGATCACAACACCAGGGCAAGGCAGGAACTGCACTTTCTTCTTTTTTTTCGCAAAGCCAATCAGTTGCTTTATCAACACATCATCCACTTTTACAGTGAGCTTCAATTGCCCTTCTTCCATTAAACAAGACACAAACCTACTCCTTCTGCAGAATCACTTCATTCCAGCACAATAGCAATGGGTTTTCATTACTGACACAAAAATCCACCTTTTGTTCATTTCTTTTCTCTACTATGATCATAGAATCATAAAATGGTTTGGGTTAAAAGGGACATTTAAGATCGTGTACTTCCAACCCTCTGCTACAGGCAGGGACACCTCCCTCTAGACCAGGTTGCTCACAGCCCCATCCAGCCTGGCCTGGAGTGCTTCCACACAGGGGCAATAAAATCATTAAGGTTGGAAAAGAGCACTAAGATCATCTAACTCAACTGTCTAGCTACCACTAATATTGCCCACTAACCATGTTCCTCACTGCCACATTTCCACATTTCTTGTACACCTCCAGGGACAGTGACTCCCCCACCCCCTGGGCAGCCTGTGCCAGTGCCTCACCGCTCTTTGCAGAGAATTTATTCTTAAGAACCAACCTGAACCTCCCCTGGAGCAACTTGAGGCCATTCCCTCTCCTCCTGTCAGTGATGTCATAATATTCCTGCTGTTGTCTATTAAGCATCTACATAAACTGCAAGCTCTTAGCCATGCAGAGCATTTGTTTGGTAAATAATTGAGGAAAGTTTTGTGGGGGGTGGCAGTCTTTTATTAGACCGACTGATAAAGCAGAGAGGCTTTCAGGCATACAAACTCCTCAAGTCGCACTTCTTGCTTGGCAGCCTGTCTGCTTTTCTAACTGGATGTGGGTTTGTTCCCCCATTAAAACCCGTTACCGACCCCTGAAATTAGTGCTGCACATATTCTGATCTCCCACAGGCGCAAAGACAACGTTACCAATAAACAGCAGACAATAAACACGTGATGAGGCAGGCTGTTAGGGAAGATTCTATGACAGAAAATACACCAGTCAGCTCCTGCTTCACATTTTTCTTCCAGAAACAAAAGGAAGTGTTTTGAAGAGACAGGTACTAATGAGGATAATTACAGAAAATTTTCCTTGCTTCTTGTCAGAGGAAAGCACTGTGCAGAGCCTGGTGTGCAGGGCTTCTATCTGCAGATCTGGGGAACAGTAAGGCCACAAGCCTGCCCTCTGTTTAAGCTCCCTCTCACTATTTGTTTTTTTCTTGCTTTGATGTAATTGGCTTTTTTTTTTTTTTCATTCCAAAATAGCACGTCCATGCTCTGCTGATGGTAGTTTGCGTAACTGAGAGAGATGGGCTACTGGAAAGCATAGGGGCATATTTACTTCAGATGTTAATTACTTCAGATGTTGTTTCCAGTCCATCAGCCTCCAGTCGAACCAGTCCGAATTTAAGAGCAGCCCTGTCAGCAGGGTGTTCGCAGCAGGCTTACACCAGGAGACCCAGCAATAGAGTTTAACTCTGGTGATCCATATTCCCTAGCAGTTTTAGAGTGTTGTTTTTTTTTTTTTCTTTTTACATCTTTAACAAATTGAGTTATACTGCGATGAAACAGCTTTTCACAGCCTGGAAATGTCCAACAATTATTCAGAACGCTTCACCATCACTTTATTATGGTAACATACAGTTGTAAGGAGCAGAGTGAAGCCAATTCTGTAAGAAAATCTAGGGCTGATAGAACAAGGTCTGTGCTGGGCTTTGAACCGGGAAGCTGCTTTGTTTGAATTGCCCACACTTGCATTTGATTTCTCGAATTAATGTTTTACCTGCAACTGGCAGTGTGTTCACTGAAGGCTGAGGATGATCCCACTGCTAATTTAGCAGTGCTATAGTCCCAGACATGTTATTGAAAAGATAACATAAATGCCTCAGTTGTCTTTTTACTTCTAGTGTTTCTGACCATGAATCATTTTATGTATGTGAGTCTGGGGCCAGCACTCCAGATGTGATGCCGTTTTAATGGATCTGTGGATATATGAAATGAAACAACTGGGAAAATATCATCAGAACGAGCCACTGAACAGAGGTAGTTCATGAGTGATTGTTGAGTGCTAAAGGAAAGCAAGTGAAGGGTGGAAACACTCTCTCAAATTCTACATGTGACCCAAGGAGGAACAAATTATCATAGAATCAAAGAATCATAGAATGGCTTAGTTTGGAAGGGACTAGGAAGATCACTTAGCTCCAAGCTCCCTGCTACTGGCAGGGTTGCCAACCACTGGACCAGGCTGACTGGGATGCCATTCCCAGTGATGGTGTGACCCTGACCCTCAAAAGGCTGCCCTCTCCAACTGCAACTCCAACTGCAACCTCAAACCGTCACATGGCTCCCACTGAGCTGGCGTTTGTCCCGTTGGGAAAGGACCACTGACAGCAGCGAGGCGTGAAGCAGGGTGGGAAAACGAGAAGTGGGGCAGGATCCAAGGTTCAATATTGATCTGACTGCCTCCAGAGGGCAGGAGGACTTTTCAAGCCAACAGCTGTCTGAGGGACTCTTCTGCAGGCCTATGTAAACTGGCCACAATAGGAAAACAGTAACAATGGTAATTCTGAAAAACGCTTTTAGTACCAGAAAAGGTTAAGAGGCAGCAGCTCTCTGTTGGGCTGTCCCTTAGTTTGTCGCAGAGCCGGGCTTCTCATCTCCCTGCTGATAGGGCACCTGGAGCTGGGACAGAAAATCAACAGCTTTTTTGACATCAAATTATTTTGCAGCCTGAATGCTGAATATGTGTAACGCTTCTTCTCCAGTAACTGCAATTGGCCTTTTGTGACAAAAAAGTTTATGAGCAAGTTCGGCAGCTCAGCTCCACCTCAAAACACTTCTGGTAGAGAATTAACTGTATTATTATTAATTTTGTGACAATCCTGCACATAGCATGGGGGTTGAAACTAGATGATCATCCATCCAGGCCATTCTATAATTCTATGAGTCTGTGATTCTATGATTCCATGATTATTAAAGCTTGATTTTCATTACATTGCATTCCATCAAAAACTTTTTTGCATAGAGGAATCCATATACTGAGAACACTCAGCCTTTCAGCCCCTCGAGGCTTGGGAAAAAATGAAAAAATGGTACACATCAATTGATAGTTGATTCCTGTTTTAAATATTCAAGGTCAACTTTTTCTTTTTGCTTTTTTTTTTTCCTGTTTGTGAGCATTTTTAAATGACAAGCCTCAGCTCTCACAGCTGTTCAGGAGAGTCCCTCTCGCTGCCTTCTGACTGCTGGGGTGAGCTGAGCTCTGTGTGTGCTCTGGGTGCTCACATTCGCCTTCTGTACCGCCCAGCCAGACCTTGCTCACAGACTGCAAATCCTCTTGGGATTAATTCTGTCAGAAGACACCGATTCCTTTCATTCCTTTTCCATTACCAGTTCCTTGGATGGTGCTGAACAGAGCGGGGATGGGGCTGCACGCTCCAGGTCCTCCTGACCGACCGTTCTGCCAAGGGCGAGGCAGCCTGTTTGCAATCACTCCTGCTATGAGTGAGCACAACTGCCCAAAATGGGGAAAC